GGCTGCAAGTGCCCATTGCCAGCTCACATCGAATTTTATATCCACCAGTATCCCCAGGTCCTTCTCTGCAGGGCTCCTCTCAACCAATTCATCCCCCAGTCTGTACTGATATTGGGGATTGGTCTGACTCAGGTGCAGAACCTTGTACTTGGCCTTGTTGAACTTCATAAATTCAGTGGCATGGACCCACATCTCAAGCCTGTCAAGGTCCCTCACGATGGCATCCCTTCCCTGCAGTGAGTCAACTGGACCACTCCATTTGGTGTCATCTTCAAACTTGATGAGGATGTACTCAACCCCACTGTCCACGTGTTGAAGTTACCTATTTTCATGTAGAATGCAGTGTTTCATTAATGTATATATATTTACATATATATATTTACAAAAATGGGACCCCTCTTCAAAAATCTTGTGCTAGTTTGGGCTGTGGTACAGTTTATGTTCTTCACAGTAGCCAGGATGGGGCTGTGTTTTGGATTTGTGCTGGAAACAGTGTTGATAACATAGGGATCTTTTCATTACTGCTAAGCAGTGTTTGCACAGAGTAAAGGCCCTTTCTGCTTCTCACCCTACCCCACCAGTGAGGAGGCTGGGGGTGCACAGGGATTTGGGAGGGGACACAGCTGGGACAGCTGACCCCAGCTACCCAAGGGACATTCATACCCTACATATGGTGTCATGCTCAGTATATAAAGCAGTGGGAAGAAGAAGGAAGGAGGAGGACCTTTGGAGTGATGCCATTTGTCTTCCTGAGTCACCATCACATGCAACAGAGTTCGCTTTCCCGGGGATGTCTGAACACCTGCCCGCCCAAGGGAAGTGGTGAATGAATTCCTTGATTTGCTTTGCTTGCATGTGCATCTTTTGCTTTATGTGTTAAACCGTCTTTATCTCAACCTATGAGTTTTCTCACTTTTACTCTTCCAATTGTCTATCCCACCCACTGGAGGAGTGGGGGAAGGGAGGGGGCAGACTGAGCAGCTATGTGGAACTTAGTTGCTGGCTGGGGTTAAACCACAACAGTCCTTTTCTGGTGCCCAACACAGGGCTCGAAGTGTTCACAATAATGACAGATTTGATTAGAATGTGCTAGATTGAATTTTTAGCTGTTCTTGCCATTTAGCTATTAATGGGCAGACTTCTGTGCTTGCCATGAGGCGTGCTTGCCTGACTGTGTATTAGAGCCTAGTGCTCGTTAGTGGCTGCTTTTTGCTTTTGCTGCTCGCTGTGCTGCTTATCATCTTACTCTGCTGTGCTTGGGAACATTTTGATAACAGCCATGGTGATGTGCCTGGGCTGTCAGATGGCCAGGCATCACTGCTGTTTCTGTGCTGCTGTACTGGACAGGTTGGAACTCCATTGTGAGCTTGAGTTGAAGGGACTATGACCTGGGGATGAGTCCATGTGGAAGCACAACACTCTGAAGCGTCTGTGGCCTTGGTTTCGTCTGTGCTGCAGTAGCTGTCCCTCTGAAGGGGCTGTGGCCTGAGGATGAGTCCACACTGGAGAAGATACACGTCAGAGCAGCTATGGCTGTAACCAAGTCCATGCTGCAGCAGGTACACCTTGAAATATCAGTGGCTGTGCATGAGGTCAGGCTAGAGCACCTCAAAGTATGTGGCCATGGAAAAGTCCATGACAGTATTTGCCAACTAAAAGTACGGAATGGTACAGTAAATAAACATGGAGGCAGTAGGTTTCTACATCTAGAGAGTTCATAGAATGCTAGAATCTCCTTGTCAAAACAGATGCACTTCTCACAGCATGGAACAAAGTTTTAAAAGGGCTTTGAAGGTCCCTGGGAATGGTGCACCCAGCCCCAACTCTGTCTTTTCAAGCCTCACTGGCTTGAAAAAAAAAATTGTGAAATTTTGCACCAGTATCCTTATCTTGAGATTTTCTAGTTGGGGAATTACAGCTAAGGATTACAAGCTCCCAATATGAATGCACATTTGGGCGTGTGCTTATAATATACCCACAGAGGAATACAAGGCAACAACATCTTTTTTGGCAACCCTTGCACTTTTCAAATCAGATGCAGAGGAGTTATTCTAATTATTTAAAGGTCTCTGAGTCTCAGCAAATTGTATTGACAGAGCTTTCGCTTTCAATAAAAAACAAACTCGAAATGCTTTTGTGAAATTTTTATTCCACTGTTATTGCCTTTTATACTGCGCAAAAACTATGTGGACAACCACACTTACACACATCCCTAGTCCCCTTCTTGTTCACCACAAGGTTCCTGATTCCTCCAGTCTATTAACATCCCCAGCTCCCAACACACAGTGATCCAGCTGCACAAGGAGCCAAGTGCATTGGGTTGGCTTCTAAGAAAAAGCAGAAGTGGGGGGAGAAAAAGGGTAAGACGAATTAAAGGAGGGGATTTGGAAGTGCAAAGCATGAAACTAGAAGGACAGGCAGTATGAACAGAGCTGTGAAGCAAGAATCAGATGAGCCAGGATGACTGAAGCAGAGAGGAGCAAAGATTTTGCTACAGATTGTCCTGTCATGAAATTGAAATATGGGGCTTTAAATTGCAAGGTAGGTGAGGCAGAATGAGATAAAAGGAAGCCAAGGGAGTAGTAGTGAGCAATAAGCTGTGCTTGTGATGCACATGCACAGTAAGTGCATAAACTAATTAATGAAAATATTGCATTAGCATCTGCAGCAGGATCATCCCTTCTCTGCACCCACACAGAACTCTCCTGGACATGGCTGACCAGTTGGATGTTGCTCATGCCCATCCAAATTTTCCATTGAAAGGAGTGGTACTGCTCTAGTTTTAATGAGTTTCCTAATAAAGACATGATGACTGGCAGTGTAATTTCCCTTCTACATTTCATGCTTTCATGACTGGAGTTTATTATTAACCTTACTACTACATTTTCTGTTATTTTACTCTGGTGGTTTAATTGTATTTCCACCTCAGTCATGTGCATTTGCTTTCTAATAGTCTCCCTTCCCAGATTGCTTTCATGTGAACAGCAGGGTTTTTCAGTTAAGTACTCTGCATTTCTTTCTGGTTTATTCCCTCTTTTTTTCCTCTCTGTCCGTGTATTAGTCATCCTTAATGGGGTACAGCACCTTGTGCTCTCTGACATGGAAAACAGGGACAATGTAAGCAAACATCAAGGACAAAGCATAAAAATAACAGAGGCAGTATCCGTAAAAGGGGAATTAATGACTCAGGCAAGTGGATGCCACATGTAAGTAATTTTAAGGAAAGAAAGCAACAGCCATGCTTAGAAATGCAGATGTATTTATCGCCTTTCAGCCCCCCTATTTAGCTGTTACTAATGGCATATCGAAAGGGAACAAAGGAAATTTCTGAATGCAGAAGCAGGGATGTCTTAGCAGGTGGTCAGGGTAATGGAAATTTAGGGCACAAGCAGCAGACCTGATTCTTATTTTATTAATGCTGACATAAATCAGGCATGTGTATCCACTGAAGGAGTGAATGAAGTTATGCCAAGGTAGGGTTGGAGAGAAGTCGGTCAGGTCTCCCATCTCCATTCTAACACGGAGCAGCAGTCCCCTCAGGAACTGCACCTCTGCTCTCACTAAATAAAATAAGATAGAAATAAATCTTTGTACTCCACTATAAAATACTAGGATGAGTGCACAGATGACTCTGGGTATGCGAGTGCCAGTCTAACAATGCAAAGGAGCAGAAGCGCAGTAGCCCCAGCAGCAGGAGCAGTGGTTTGGTGTTAAGTCAATAAAAATAATTGAGAGTCAGCTCTTATCTACAGTCTGGACCCTTTCCAACACCAACATTTTAGGGATGCTGTACATTGGATCTAAATGTAAAGTAATTTACTAGAGTTAAAGGTCTTCCATGTGAATGAGAATCAGGACCTTTGATTTTACATCCCAGTGTATGTTTCCATCTGCATGTCACACACAAACACTGTTTGTCTGTAAGAAGTAAGGGTAATAACATTCTGCTGATGGGGTTATGAGAAAGACTGAGAGCTGCTTTGGTTTTGGTTATTAATATCTTCATGAGAAGAAAAATCTTGATGCTGAATAGCTTTTTAAACTACTGGGGAAAGGCATGATAGGAACCCCAGGCAGGTGGATAGAATGTAACAAAATCAAATGGGAAATGAAGTATGTCTAAAATGGTGAAGCAGAATAGTCTGTTGATACAGTAGAAGTGGGTGGTGAACTCTCCATTTCTGGTTATCCATGCTGGATAGCCTGCAAGGAAACATACTTTAGCAAGGCACACATACAGGGTTCGGGAGAGGAGATCCTCAGTAAATTTAAGGCCTCATATCAAATAAGTATTTGATTAGATCATCTAACAGCTTTGCCTATAGCCCCTGTGAACCATCTGCTCTGGCTGGCCATCACATGAATGCCCTGGAGCAGAGCCGATAGGGGAAGGTCGTGAGAGGAGCAGTCCTGCCTGGAGCCTTCAGCCTCCATGTGCCTGGCTGTGTTAGCAGGGGCAGGCTCTTCCCACAGCGATGCTAATGAAATCCTGCCACCGAGATTTAGGCAAAGCGCCGGAGCTCCTCTGGCTTACCCGCCCAAGGAGCTCTCCAGCCTTTAAACACAGGAGCACCCGCCGTGTTCCTCAGAGCCAGTAGATGCCGGAGCACTTAGCCAGCATCCTCGCCCGACCGACGGCGCTCTTGCGATGAGAGGGAAGTACCGGCCCTCACTCTGCAGACAGTGCAGTGGGTCCAGAGCCCACATCGCCTGTCTGAGGTGTTCAGCGTCACCCGCCACACCATCTGCTGTCCTTGACCTCCCCGGGAAGCCTGGCTGGGAGATGTCCTGCTGCTTCCTGGAGTTACTGGGATTACTTTTCCCACCCGTGCAGCGAGATGAGACAGATGGGAACACTGACCAAATGCTCCACAACAAACACCCCCCTGCGACTGCAGCGCGCGGGCCCCGCGGCAGCCCTGGCACGGCCGGCACGGGGCTGCCCCGGCCCCGCGGCAGGGGCGCGGCGCCAAGGGCGGGCGGCAGCGCCACCTGGCGGCCGGCGCGGCGCCGGCGGGCCCGGGAACTGCCCCGGGATGCGCCATTCCTGAGCTCTCTGCGGCTGGTGCGCGGGAAAGGGAGGGAGAAAAGCAGTGAGGGAGGGAGGGAGGGAGGAAGGAAGGAGGGAAGGAAGGAAGGAGGAATTTTTCAGTTTTGTCACACTAAGAGCAGAGCTGCAGCCATGTGTGTGGCCTGTGCCGCCTGCTGTAGTGGGGCCACTGTTGCAATTTGGTCAGTGGAAAAATCAGTTATTAATCAGCAAAGAACTATTGATTTTCCAAGTGCTCTTTCCATAGAATAGGATGTCAGCCGTTGCAGCCAGCGAGCGGTGAACTGTGAAGTGCCACTGGGAGCACCTCTGGCCCAAAGGAGCAAGTCGATCCGTGGTGGGAGCTATGAGGTATTCTGGGGTCACTGCTCAAACAGAGCAGTTCCCAGTTCACAGGAGATATAGAGGTACATTTTGTGTTTGTACTTAACAAATTAGGGCAAATTCCCTGTTGCATTGGGAAGCAGAATGGAAGATGTGGCATACTATTCAACTCCACATCAAACCATGTTTTTGGTGGATGTAGGCTGTTTTCCAGTCAATTCATAGTAGCCCTGAGAAATACATAATTTTCCTCCGATAGAATGTAGTCAGCAAAGCAAGCTTTTCTTCTTTTCTCTTCCCCTTTCTTTTTTTTTTAAATGCAGTAGAAATATCCATAAGGTGTTCAGCAACATGCAGTCTTCTGATTGTTTTTCTTCTTGTATAGATCAATTGTGATGGTTCACCCAGGCAAACGTGCTGATCTGGACCATACAGATTTCCCTATTTATTTTAGTTAGGTCTATAATGGAGATTTTTATCACCAGCTACTGGAATTTGTTTGTTTTTTTTTTTTTTTTTATGAAACCTGTCCAGAAATTGAACATTTTGAGACCTGCAATGCTTCTTTTGTAGTTTTTTTTCCTAAAATCCCTGAGTAATATACTCAAGAACATCATTGAAATGTATCTACAATGCAGAGCTTATGTTGACATTTACCCAGGACAGTATCAGCATCAGCAGTCTATAGTGCTGCATAATAGGAACAGGCCAGTGTTCTTTCATACTTTCTGGTATAAAAATTTTAATTTCATGATCTAAAAGATGCCCTGCTTTGGATCTGAATTTTAACTGTCCAGCCATCAGCAGAGAGTGTGGGTTGGCTTGCATCAATTTTAGGTAGCTTTTCAATATGCACATAGTCAATGTTACTCTGCATTTCACTGCATTTCTCTAACAGATCAAATTGTGGTTGTTTCTTCAGTCATGGTCCAGCAACACAATGACAGTAGCAAAGGCATGAGCTCTCACAGCTGTCATTAAGAATCACAAGTTCATTTACTCACTACTGAAACTTTTATCTGGAATAATCCAATACTGCACAGCCATTCCAGGCAACTGGAAAGGGAAAAAATGTCTTTTTGAAACCAGGGCTATGAAAGAATTAGTCTGGAGCTTGACACAAAGAGCATAGTGCGTAGCTCTATTATGGTGATCACCATCAGGAGAACATTGAAAGGTAGGTAAAATGCTGAAACTGATGCTTGTGGAAGATAGTGTTCCCAGTGTCACTGCTGCCACTATGGAGAACGCAGTTGTCACTGCTGCCACTATGGAGAACGCAGTCCTAGCTTCATACAGGATCACTGGCACATGCAGCCCTACTGCAAGGAAAAACTGGTCAGCTCATATAGTTTAAGCATATTGAAATTAAAGCAATTTATTGATTTATTAGCAGTGCATATTTAATCTGCTATCAGAGAACTCTGTATTCAGGACTGAAATCATCAACACATCAGATAAACCACAGTCCTAGACACTTGCAAAATAAATGTCTGCAGATTTATAAGCATGCTTTTATAGCCCAACATTTAAGAGCAGCGTGCACTGCAGCACCCATGCTTTGTGTGTGGGTGCCGTGCCCATGTGCAGCCCCGCCTGTTGAGAAGTGGGTGCACCCACCGTGTGTGCACCGATGCTGCTGCCGGCACCCCGCTAAGGCACCGCTGAGAGCAGGTGCCTCTCATGGCCCCATGTGCACCCTGAGGAGCGGTGCACTCCCCTACACTCCCCATGCTGTGGGACACTGGCTGGGAGCTGCTGGGGCTGCTGCGGGGCGATGCCTGGCAGTGTCCCAGCAGGGTCACTGCTCCTCCTTCTGCTCCAAGGCATCTCCCCGGGGAAGGGTAGTCTCTGTCATTCCCTGGTTATTGATTAATCGGGGTGGTCATTTTCCTTGTTAGCGCTGCCAGCATTGGGTAATGCCCTCTCAGGCGGCTTTGGGTGTTCCATAAAGCTACTTAGCTGAGGGGTGTGTGGCTGGGGATGTGCTTTTGGGCTTCCATTGCTGCCGCCGCTGTGCGAGCTGGACAAGCTCACAGCCGGCGCTGCCCTTGTTTCTGGACGCTGGTCTGCCGGTTTGGTAGCAGACATTCCTCGCTTCCCCGGCGTGCTGCCTCGGCCGGGAAGGGCTCTCGCTGCTGACAGGGGGAGCTGAGCAGTAGCTCTCCCTGCCTGCTCCTGGTCCAGTCCGGGGTCCTCCTCCTGATCCAGTCCGGGGTCCTCCCGGGTGACTATCTCGGAGCAAAACCTTTACAGACATGACCCTTTGTTTTGCTCTGTTAAAAGAGTTAGCAATACAGCTGCAAAGGTCCGAGTTTACTGGTGTTTGGTTATATAGCCCTGGGCCTGCAAGGCTATGTAAAATTCAGATCCTCTCTGAATGCAGCTTCTTAGAAAACTGGGGATTGTTGCAACAGTTTCTCTCTCTCTCCTGTACTGATACTCTTCCTGTCTAGATAGTAGTAATTCGTACTTCTAGATATGCTTATTTGTTTCCAGTCTAATATTTCTGCACCTTTTCTTATTTCTTTTTAGTTTTTCTTTATTTTTCCCTTAACCAAGTTTTTAAGACCATGTTCTTTTATGTGGCTCCTTTTCCGTGCAGTTTCCTTGAAATCCTTTCTTCCTCTGCGGCTTTCCGATCTGTGTCAGTCTCTCTCCAGATCAATAGTACTTAATTTTTGGGGTTTTTACTTCTTTCTTAGACATTTCAGCTCTTTGGTCCCAGTCACTGTCTAAAAGCAATGGATAGTGTTCCCAGGGGTACTGGGGTGACATAGAGCTTTGTGCCTTCACCCTCCATATGCTGCCAAGTGAGCATCCTTGAGGCTACACCAGAGCTGATCTCAGCATCTCCTGTTAGTCTATAATAGTGCACAATAATGTTGTGACTCTCAGTTTGCAGCTGTTTGCATTTGACCAGGACATGGAAAAAGAAACAGTAATTTGGGAGCACATTTTTCTCCACTTTTTTTTTTTCTGTCTGAAAAACAGCAAGTGATCCAAATTTAGCCAGCTGTGGTGTTTCTCTTGATGCTCTGCGGCAGAGCTTGATCAACAGTAAAACAGCAGATTGTAGAGAAAAATAAGTATCAATAGCGATGTTTTCAGATGTGAGAAGGTCCCTATGGCTATAGGGGTTTAGTTTTCTCTAGCTCAAACAGCACTGAATTGTCCTTTAGAGAGAAAAAAAAACAACTCTAAGAATGGAAAACAAACACTTTTGGTTCTCTTCTTATATTTCACGTGCACTCACATCTCCAGTTTCATAGACCAAACCAAGCAAAATTGAGACTCATGTCAACTTTTTCCACTCTTTGAGAGATGCAAAATGCAAAGGCCAAATAAATCACCAAAAGTTTAGATAAGTCATGTTTGCAAAGTTGTACTTACAATGCAACTTTTTTACCTCACTCCCTGCAGCCCTCCTGCTGTTATGTTTATGCACTATGTGAAGCTTTTTAAAGCTGACATTTGGGATTTGTCCCTGAAGGATTATCTTTGAAGCAACATATCCCTTCTTAGTACTTAAGATTTTTTTAACATCCTGCATTCATAATTCTAAGACACAAATAATACTATCAATATTAATGCACTGTAGACAGTTTCTTCTGTACTTGAAGATATGTTACTACCCACAGAGATAAGTAGAATTTCATAAATACATACAAAAATCTTAACTTTTGTTCTCATGACATGTCTTCAGAGCTGTAATTGTAATAACACTTCAGAGCATAGTATTGTTACTAGCTGCCAGAAACTGCCTCTCAGGAAAAATTGACTCCATTGAATCAAGCATCTCTACTCATGCTGAGAAGATACTGAATACACACACACACAACTATGTATAAATATACATATAAAGATATATGTCAGTGTCATTATTCATTCAAGTGAAAATAATTTCCTCTTTTAAAAAATATTTGACTTTCTGTGAATAAGTAATAATAATAATAACAACAATAATGTAATTTAAGAAGAAATAGTTAAATAGTTGTGCAAGGGTGTGTTTAGGCTTCAATTGACGTAAAGATTCCCTCTATTTAAAAGGTGCCATTTTCTCCTGTACCTGCAAAAGAGTATTGTCTGTGTTTTGTGTCTAGTCCCCCATAAAAAAGATGGATTGCCACCCAGAATTCTTTGGGCTGAAACAGGTCTACTAAAATAACAGGAAAATTTTGAGTGAAGGTAAACCAGTGACATTTAAATCCATTCATGGATAACTGTCATGAAGGAAATAGGTCTAATTTACTTCTTTTCTGTTGTAAATAGTGGTTCTGATTCTGTTCTCATTCTTGGATATAAAGCTGGAGTTTCTTCACCAACACTGCTGACAATTCTAGGTTTATAACACATTCTATTAAATAAGAACTGCTAACAGAATTAGGTCACTCATGTTCACTACAGAAGAAAAATATTTTAGAGGGCTAGACACAGTCAGTGGTGATGAACAGTTCTTAGTTACCCCTGTACACCTCTTTCTGTCCAAGAAGGGTGATCTGAAGGAAGAGTTTACAGTTTCTGGGTAACTGCACAGTATTTATGTCTCAAAGCCACAAGCTTATTTTCCTCAAGTACAACAGGGATGTTGCACTATTATTCACATAGATAAAGTGTTGGGTAAGTTGTCCTAATTATTTCTTACCCTTAATGTTGAAGAAAACACTATTGTCCCTTATAGCAGAGTGCTATTTATGCTTCCTTTATATCTCCATAATTGTTGTGCAATGTTTGCTGTGGAGTCCTCAAGACTTTTCTTCAATATAATTGTTAAATAAAAGGTATATTTTTTATTAATTATCTAAGTGTCTTTTAGACATCACACAGAAATTAATAAACAAGGGGACTTGCCAGAGATATTTTACATTTTGACTATAAAATAGATAGAAATAATTAATGTACTGATTATTTATTTATATCTTTCAAACAGGCATCAACAGGACTAAAAAGAGCACATTTTTAAGCTTTATTAAAGGCCCTAGGCAACAGATTTCTTTCTGTAATATATTTTAATCTACCAACTGATTTATGGATAATAAAGCTGCATGAGAAGTTTTCAATGGAATTGGAGTCAAGATTGGCCATGGTGTCATTACAGAATGGAGGACCCTTCACCCAAACATCACAAGCTATAACCACTAAATCATCTGCGATGGGCTGCTGAGCCTGTACATTCCTGTGTGTAAAAGTCTAGAAAGGATTTTTACGTCTTCTGGTCTCCCAGCACACTGGGTCCCAAATCCAGTCTGAGACTGCCTTGGCCTCACTTTGTGCCTTTTGCTAGCTCCAGTGGTCAGAAACCACCTCCTGATTTCCAAACTCATTTTTTTCCTGGCTGGTTGGTGCCTTTTGTTGTTGTTGGACCAATATTATATTTTATCTGAAATAGCTGTTCCCTTCTGAGAGTTTACTCACCTGATATAGAAGAGCCTTGTCTTTCCTGAGGGTCTTGCTCAATGAAGCAAACCAAGTTGTCCTAGTCCTCTCTAGTAAATACAGTGAGTAACTCTGCTTATCCTAAAAGCTCTCTCCTGTGTCTAGTCCAGTTAAAATTCAGCTTTCTTGTATGTAAGTGACTAGAACTATATGAGAGCCTAAGGAGTTGTTAAAGTCACCACAACATTTCACTTGCCTTTGTTGTGGCTGCAAGTTGTGGAGACATCTGTGAATACACGTGTGCTTTGTGTAATGTCCAAGTGTATATATGTATGCAAGTACACATGTGCACCCCCACACACCACACACATATCCACACATTGCTTTGCGTGTTTGTTGCCAGCTGAGGAACTCTCAGATTACAGTGCACATTTTTAGTACTGTTGCTGAAGTGCATGCCCTTGTGTGTTATGGTACTCTGTTGGGATTCCTCCTCTCCTCATGATCACCTCTCTCTGTGTGAAAGACAGTCTCCTCCATACTGAGGATAGTGTATTTGGCAAATTTAGTTACCACTTGTCCATTTTTTGCACTATCAATATTGCTAAAACTAAACCAGACCCAGTTCTTGAAAAACTTTGCTCATCATCTTCTTCCAGATCTGTACCATCCCTTCCAGCCAATCCTGCTGACATTCTCTCTTCAAGCATCCTTATGCTACATGGCTTGCATTTGTTCTGCTCAAAATAAAATTATTTCCTGGGTGACTGTATAGTAGATGTTTTACAGATGTTTAGATAAATGAAATTTTGGTCTTAGTATTGCATAATAATAATAGTTTAAAAATATCAATTATAGTTTCTAAGAAAGATGCTAGATTCATCTGACACGTACATTGCATTACTCTTCCTTCCATCTTCACAGGTTTAATTAGTTTTTCTTCAAAAATTATTCCAAGTCCTCTCCTCTTTTGCTTAAGTTTGTTTAAGATCTCTACTCTCAGAGTTGTGACTGTAAGAGTCCAGTCTAGTATGGACTAATTCTCTGGTTCTGACTATGCTTCTGATATTGAGATGACAGCTACTTCCCTCTCTGTGTGTGAGTTATTGTATGCAAGAGCATATCCCTAATGTCATTGTTGCCCATTAAAGAACAAAAAACTCTCTTGATGTGGTCAGAGACTTACATTTGCTTTGGGAGAAGCTGGAAAAAGCCCTGATGAAGGTAACTATTTCTGCGGGCAGGCAATAAAAGCTGGAGGTGATGGAAGGTGGGATGGACCAACCATATTTGTCCAGCTCTGTAACTTCTGTCATTGAGTTTGTCACATTAACACTGGAATGAAAACACCTCTTTCCCAGGGTTCCCATTTCAAAGAAGTTGCCAGGTATCTCTTTTATAATTATGCCTATGGTTGGGGCAGTTGGATGCAACCAGTGTTCTGGCTCTGTCCATCATCCCTGTGCTTCCCAGACGTACAGCTTATGCATGCAGCCTGGGAGAAGGATGTAGGTTGGTGTGATGGTGCAGTCAACATGACTACCACTGATGAGGTAGCAAACATTGCTGCTGAAGCAGTAGAAGTTCTTTGACACAGAGCAGGACAAGAGCTACTGAGACAGGGGGAATGCATCTTTGCCCTGTGTCCCTGTTGGACCTGGACTGAAAATCAAGGCCTTTGTTTCTAACAGGGATGGCAGCAGGGAGAAGTGGGATCTAGGTGCCCACGAGGCAGGAGGGGTAACTTCACCTATGGGAAGGTGTGGGGTGCCTCTTTAGGAAAACCTCCATGACAATATCCCAAAAAGGGAAATGAAAATGGATTGAAGAAATTAAAAAGCACACAGAGCTGCTTCAAAAAATTTTATACCTTTTTGCACATCCCTGTGGAGTCAGTTGTGGCAATAGGTCTGTCTGAACTCTTTCATTTCCCTGTTGCAGTATAATGCTCCCCCACTTAGCTAATTTTTAATCCTTTTTTTGAGCTGGGCATGCCTTTTTAATTTTTTTTAATAATGCTTAATAATCATGTATGTTCAGTTCCCTGGGTGGTATGTTAATTCTTTTCTTTCATCTGCTTAATTAGAAGATTTTGTTCTGCATAAAATAAGGCAGCTGGGGCAGGGTCTTATGAACTGGTAAGCATCCAATAACTATATTAAGCAGTTTCTTAAGGGTTTGAAACTGTCTTCAGATGGTAGCTGTTGACAAACCCTGAAGTGAAGCACTACTTGAATATTCACATTAAAACCACCATTGCAGTTAAGTTAGCGATGCATGATTAATTGGCTTAAAAGCAATGGATTCATATGGAGTAAAATGCCTCTATGAAAATCAATAGCATGACAACCATTAGCAAGAGCATTACTTTGAAGATATTAAGGGACACAAATCAAATTTGTCAGCTGAAGAGTAACAGTACCTACATATACAAACAAACAGCAGTTCTGTCTGCAACACAGCATGAGGGGTTAATGGGTCTTCTCTTAATTATCACAGCGATGGGATAGCACATAGTTACTCCCAGCAAATAACAGAGCCAAAGGTACTACTTTGCTTCCACCCACCAGGTTTGGCTGGAACCTCTTGGTTCCCAGCAGGTGCAGATGTTCAGTACTCGATGCTGTCACCTAAGACTGGCTCCCCTCTCTTTACCAGCTGCATTCACACCCATTTTAGCTGGTGCTGGCAGCCTGGGCCAGCCCCAAAACTGACAGATGGGCAACCCCAGAGTTTCACAGGGGTCTTGCTCTAAAAATTCAAAGGCTTTTTTTGCACTGTAGAAGCATTATAAATACTGCTCCTCTCTTCTTGCATCCCCACAAACTCCCTTTTGTGCTGTTGCATAAAAGCCTCTCCAGGGCTGAGAGTCACTTCAATCCATAGGTGGATGAAATACTGTATTGTGGTCATGTTTACAGCAGTACACAGGGAAATGGTACAGATTTCAGAGTTCTCCTAGGATATGTGCCCTGAATTAAAAAAAACCCAAACAAAACCAACAAACCAACATGCCACTTGGGTGCATTTTTATGTCTTTCACTCACACAAATATGCTGAGTGGCTGATTCTGTGCATCACTGCAAAAAGTAGAAAGCTGTCTGTCCGCTGGGGCACTAGTCCTCTTGGCTCAAAGCTGATATAAATGATGATAAGAATTTTAACTTGGAAAAGAAGGAAGATAGATGGAAGGGACTTCTTTAATCTCCATACCTGGAGATCTAACGCAAAAAAAGAGAAAAATCAAATAAACAACAACATGACAATCTGTAATGGAAGTACAGAAGATGAGAGGTTGGACAGCACAGAGAATGAAAGAGATAATACTAAGGAGTACGGGGGGGCTAAGCAACTGTTGTACTGACCTAAATATAAATTAACCTCAGACATAAGGCAATTGTCACTCTTTAAGGAACAGAATAAAATATTGATGTTCTTCTTTAAAAAATCAGAAAGTATTTAATTAAGTAAATTATCAACTAACATGACAAAACATGTGTACTATAGGAATATTAAGTTGGGATAGAGGTTCATGAATGATCCTTAAAACTATTAGTAAGAGGGTCCTTTGGAAATTTGTGGGTGAGATGATGGTGGGAGGCATCATCGACATGGCAGAAGATGAGGATATTTGCAGAAAAAAAGACTGTCCCAAAGAGGCAAACAATGTGACAAACTTCAGTAGAATGAAAGGCAAGATCATTTAAAGACTAATGTGGAGATTTTGCACTAAAAAAAATGGGAATTTATCAGCTGGAAATGGAAATGAGTAGCAAGCACTGGGCCACTGAGCCAGTCGGGATGAATACTGTCATCCATGTGATCCAACCATGAAGGGCAAATCCAGGCTGAGGATATCCCTGATGACTTGTTTCCAGTGGAGCAAAAGCAGCATTCAGGCGGTTTTGTAGAAGGCTGTGCAGAGACCTTATCTGGAGTATTGTGCACACCAGTGGCATCCCCACTCATGAAGGATGGATGAGCTACAGAGGACAGCCTGTGGGATGAATGTGTGAGGGAAAAGAAAGGGCTGCACTCAGCCTTCCTGAAGCCGAAAAGAGATATAATTATTCCCTGCAAGCACATCGTGATGCTAAATTATGGAGAAACAGGAGAAGAAAAGGTATTTAAGCCAAAGAATATAATTCACATAGAAACAACTGGGAATATATTTAGGCAGGATTTCATAAAATATTTTTCATTATCAGTGTACTGAGGATTTGGAAAAGGATAGTTGTGTAAAACCTGATCACCATTAAAACAAAGTTTTGTCAGCTCATGTGACCAGTGTATTTGGCAAATGACTGGCATTAAAAACTCAGGACCTCCTTTCAAGATTCACATTCCTCTGACTGGTACTGCTTAAGGCTAGGAATAGATACAGAGTCTCATATCCCAGAAGAGTCGATGCTGTGGTCTGTAACACTAAGTCCAGGCTCCTTGTTGCTCAAAACTCAGCCATCCTGGTCTTCTTCCTTAGAGCTGTGCTTGCTGTGGGAATTGAAGGAGAAGCAAAATTGGTTTAATCTCATTTATCCACAGCCCAGCTGCTGTTTATCACTGTGAGACAAGTGCCCAGCACCCCTCCTCCTGCGCTGCATTAATCTGGTACCTCTATCTTCTGCTGTGTCCCCATGCAGCAAGCAGAAAGCATGCTTTCTGTGGAGCACGTGCTGTGCAAAGAATCCCAGCATTTCAGACATCCCAGAACAAGTCCAATAAAATTATCCTGATGCTAGGTGCAAGATTCAGATCTGGAATCTCCTCTCCCTCACTGCTGGATGTCCCCAACCCAGAGTCAGATCCTTTGGCAACCCTAGAGTTTGGTTTGCTCTAGAGTCAACTGAAGGAGGAAGGAGGAAGAGATCATAGACCTCTGTGTGCTGTATGTATGTGCCTGGCCTTTTCTCTGCAAGGCAGAATCACCTCAGACTGCCATAACTCGTGTTTGGCTTCTTGAAGCTTGGGAGTGCAGTGACAGAAAGGTTGCACTGTGCTCCAGACATCCTTTCTGCCTCCCCAAGCCAAACTGGGAGGCACTCCTCCCTTCAGCCCCAGCCCATGCCACTATCAGTGGCTAACAAAACCTGCCCCACTATTTAGTTCTCCTGGTATCCATGATGTTAGAGAAACGGGAAACAGATTTCATATTAGGGAGGGGTGTTTTTTAGCCTCTTCTAAGTGAATAACTGCACCACAGGACACAGGAGGTGCAGTCATCAGGCTGGCAGAGATGCCATAGCATTGCATTTATGAGCACCTTTTTTAAAAAAAATTCAGTCATTATTGAATCGTGGGGAGGTGGGGGAGGCAGATTTAATAATTTTTTTATCTCCTAAAGAAGTGTGATTTGTTATCTGAAGGCAATAATTCTAACTGGTGTTATTGGTATGCGGCATGCAGGGATCTTAGCACTAGCACATCTTTATTAATGTTGTTATAAAAGCTTCTACTGGGATCCTAGTTATCAAATGACTCTGACATCAATTCATCCACAAAGCCCTGTGTTTTAATTTCTCACTATCTGAAAAGAAATGGGCTGGGTGGGTGGAAAGAATTCTATTTTCAGCTGCTTTGTCCTTTGCTTTAAAGCCTGGCACATTGCAAGTGTAAAGGAGGAACATGTAGGATTATAGCAGGAGGAATATATCTTTGAAAAATAAATATCCTGCCATAAAAAGCATGTTACAAAGTGACAGGTACCATCCATTGATATAATGGAGTCTTTGATTCCCATAGTACTGGCCATTATAAGAAGTACACAAGGATGTGAGCCAAAGTCTTGAAAACTCCTTTGAATAGCAGCAGAGCCACAAATAGCAGCAAGGGATTTAATGGTAAAACACTTTACAAAGATTTTGTTGTATGCACTGTAAAACAATAGAGAGTGAATGAATTACTGGAGCTAGCAAATGTCTCCTTTGATATGAATCAGGGATTGAGCAGGGAAGCAGCTAATTTCTAGGACTTTTCCCTCTTCAGCCCATTCTTTAGTCATGGTTATAAATGATTGCACAGGAGGCCCAGACCCAGCAGAATTTGCGAGCAAAAATGATCAGCTAACCCAAGTAAGCAAAAAAAAAAAAAAGCAAACATTTTTTTAACAGTTTAACACGGCCAGGCTCAAAACTTTTCCAGTTCCATGATATTACAGTACAGTATCAT